TCATGAGGGTTCTGCCCCCATGACTCAAATACCTCTCACTAGGTCCCATGTTTGACATTGGGGATCACATTTCAACATGAGGTTTGGAGGGTGAAATAGCTGAACTTTGCATATGTGTAGTACAATTTCAGTTTTAGGAAAAGACTGGGTGGAAGGTGTCTAAATGTTATATTTTAGTTTATCTTAATATAGATGATTTTTGTTTTCCTTATAATTTTCTCATTTTCTAAGTGTTTTGTTCATAGACATATTCACACTATATATACTGAAAATTTTAATAACCAAACGTTTCAGGGAAAGTGACTTCTGTTTTCCACTAATTTCAGCAAAAAGAGTGAATGACTTGATAATTGTTCTACTTTTTTTAATTAGAAAAATTTCCTGCCATTGAGAGCTTCAAAGCACTGCTGAAAGTTTCACAGCAAATGCAATGGAAAGCATGGATTGAATTTGATTTTAAATTGATAAATTTAAAATTCTTATGTGTTCTGAAGAGTTTTTCATGTCTCATCCACTATCACTTTTTTCATTACCATACTGAAAGCTGAGGGTATGGAACTCAGAATGCATTTGGAAGAATAACAGGTGATACGAATTTTTGGTCTTATCTGATTTCCGGGAATAGAAAAACCCAGGATCAAAGCTATCTTTGTCTGGTTCTATTCCTATATAAATTAAATTATAAAGATCGTTCCAGTTTTACATCTTATAAATATGAATGCCTTGAGTCTATTTTGCATTAGCATCTAACAAATATACACAAATTTCTAAGAAGTAATTTGCTTGTCTCATCCCCTCCCTTTCATGTCTCTTCAGAGCCGCCTTGGCAATATGATCATCCTAAACACCTATCTAAAACACATATCTTACTGTACTGCTTCCCTGTTTAATCATACTTCCATCACCTTAAAGGTAAAATACAAATGTTATAACATGGCAATCAGGAGACTTCCTGATGTGGCCTCATCTTATTCCTCAAGTTTTATACAAAAGAGTTTCCTATAAATATTCTATTTTAAAATAAAATATTCTTATAGCCTATCCTTGAAGATGGCGTGTTCTTTCTTATTCCTGTGCCTTTGCTTATGATGTTTCCTTTGCCAACTGTGACTTTCCCCACCTTCCTCACTGGACAGCTTCTGTTAACTGAAGGTTAATGAGTCTTACCTCTTTTAGGAAGACTTTTCTGCAGCACCTAGCCTTGCCAGGAACATAGTCCTTATCACACTGATGCATGCAAAGGAGTATACAGACTTATTTTCCTTTCACTAGTAACTAAACAACTGGGCATTCAATAGCTGTTCAGTGAATATTGTGTTATTGAACAAAATTACTTTTCTAATGTTATTTTCCTTAAGAGTGTAGGGGTATAGGTATGACTATTTGTATGTCATTTCCTTAGTGAGATGACTAGAATACATAGGAAGTGATTGCTCCGGGCTACTTAGGACAATCATCCTAATATCACTTTCTTTGTATGTTTTGCTTAGAACATTGGGGTGAAAACATTTAAGAAGGTGTCTTAAAGGCATACGAAGGCATATGTACTTTGTCCATTGGTGATGTGGCCAAATTACTTGTTAGAGAAATTACCACTGGCTAGGGATGGATAGGTGGGGAGTGTAAACTGGGAGAGAAAACAAACTGGAGATTGTTGTATTAAGTAGACTTGAATTTATTTAACTGCACGTAGGTGGTAAGGGAAAAAAGAAGGATTAATAATGCCAGATTTCAGGTGTGAGCAATCAGTGGGGATTGTACTACTTACTTAATGTCACAAGACAAAAAAGAAAAATATAGAAAAGAAAATCAGGGCCAAGATCTGCTTTTATATATTTTGAATTTAGGAGCCTATAGAGGATAAGAAATAAATATCCAGGAAAACTCCTAAAACATTTTGCAAATTAGATTAAATACTGTTAAATTCTTGGGCCTAGGTAAAAAAGAGAATAATGATTTTGAAAATATTTTAAGATCATGATAATGATGGTCCATATTTCACATGATGACAAGTAGAAATACAATTTGGCCTGACTTGTTTGTTTTGCTTGGTTTATTACATATAGAATATTTAAAGATTTACCTGTTACATTAACAAATTGAAGCATTTTGTCATATTGCAGCATTAATAATGTTTTTCTTAAATGGTACTGTTGGGGATAAAGGAAGTTTTAGTAAAGAAATAGTTGGTTTCATTTAATTTCATATACATCTTCAAATTGTGTGAAAATGTGTAATAAATGGTGGCAAAACAGTATCAAATTGAGCATATTATGTTCATACTAAAATTTTAAGAAGCATTTGAATTGGAAATCAGGATTTTATATTTTAAAGTAAAATATGTTCAAAAGAGCAGCCCCTAAGCCAATCTGAGTTTTGCAAGAATATTCAAAGTGCTCTTTCTATGAAAAATCTAATCATATCAGACATAGAATAATAGATCCCATTTGGAAAATATGTCATTTCCTGCAAGAAGAAAGACAGAAGTAGGCATAAGTTAGTTCTTATTTTTTGATGTGTGTATTTTTGTGCTCTTCTTTATTCTGTCACATTGCATAAAATATTCTAGTTTGAAAAGTATTTCCTCAGTGTGACTGGGTTTCAGTGAATTTAAGATAAAAATAAAGGCTACGGGGATGTTAAATTGAATTGACCATTTCAAGGAAAAGATTTTCTTTTATTAAATTTTGGAATTAAATCTACTGAAGAGTTTTATTAACAATTATTTATCTTGATTAAATTGAATTGACTATTTTAAGAAAAATATTTTCTTCTATAAAATTTGGGAATGAAATGTATTGAAGAGTTTTGATAAGTTATTTATCTCAAATTATTTCTCTCTAATTTCTGTTCATAAGATCAATAGTTGTCAAAATAAAAATGGAAAAACTATGTCATCCTAAAAGATAAATAATTTTGTTCTTCCTTTTCTCTCCTCTCATCTAAGACCAACAAACAAGAAAAACATGATCTGATAAACGACTGTGGAAATCATGATATGGTTTTATAGTTTACCTTTTAGCTATGTGTCATGCTTGAAATTTCCTGTCCAGGATAAACACATCTATTTTTAGAGCTGGAAGTATGTGATGATACAACCTTTACATTTTACAGCAAGGTGAAGTGAATTGTGTAATTAATACATGCTAAGATCCAGTCAGTACTAAGAAAATAACATATGATTTAATAAATAATGGTCTGAGTTAAGCAAACATTGTTTTTCACTAAAATTATAAAATATCAATATATGACCTTAAAATATACTGTGCTAATATTTTAATTCAAAATTTAAAATTGTTGCTTTTTGTTGTAGATGCTGTAGATGATCAGCCTATAACCTCTCTTTTAGTGCTATAGTTCAAACTGGCAAAATTTCTAATGCTTATCCTGCATTTCTTTACCTAAGGGATTCTTTGGCCACAAGAGACCACTTTGTTAACCAAACAGACTGAAAGTTCTAGGGAATCAATGCCCCTGGGAGCAACCCTCAGCTAATGACTAATGAGAATTGGTATATAAATATGCTAGCTCTCATTCTTACAGTGAGATATAGCTGAGGGGTGTATTACACACTGGATGTCTGATTTTCCCCAGCCAGATTAAGCTGCAGTTGCCAATAGTGTTACAGGTCTGATAATGATCTCTGTGCTGGTAAGAAGTCTTCCATTCCGGGTCTCACTTCTTTCTTTTCAACCCTGCTAATATTTCCTGGGATTATCTCCCAAATAAACTTCTCACATTGAAGTTATTATTACCTCAGTGTTTGCCTCCAGGACAACCTAAACTGAGATCCTTTATTTCTCTCTAAAGTCATGTTAGAAAATGAAAAAGAAGCTGGGTGTGGTGGCTCACACCTATAATCCACCCAGCACTTTGGGAGTCCAAGGCGGGCAGATCACCTGAGGTCAGGAGTTCGAGACCAGACTGACCAACATGGCAAAACCCCCCTCTACTAAAAATACAAAAATTAGCTGGGCGTGATGCCATACAATTGTAGTCCCAGCTACTCAGGAGGCTGAGGCAGAAGAAAACAAATAGAGTGAACAAATAGGTCAATAGGCTTCTGATGAATATGTAGCTAAGATGGAAAAAGATGGCTTTCAAAGTATTCAGATGGCTTAGATTGAAACAAAGAGGAAGGGATAAAATAATATGTGAGATCTGTCTATTTAAGAAAGTAAAAAGTACACATATGGCATCATCAATGTCTGTATCAAGAGGTTTGTATCAAAGTTATGATGAGAAGCAGGGCACACGACTTAGATATGTTTCTCCATTTTTCCCCCTCCTTCAAAAAGGTCAGGTCTTTTTAGTGTTTTGGCAAAAGATACTACGCTGTGAATTCTTCTGGTACTATTTGAACTTATGTCAGAGGTACATTCGAAATCATATAATTAAAGGAAGACATAGTTTGTGCTGTTGTGTCTACCCAGAGAGAATTTTTGTTTTGTTTGTTGGAATAAAAATATAAAAGTCTTAACCAATTAACATATCTCTTCTAGTTATAGCATGATTATGAATAGAAGGATAAGCTATCTGAATGCCTTGCCATAACAGTCAAAGCAGAATGAAAATGAAAATAAATCAGTGCCTTCTAAAATTCAGTTTCACCTTCGTAATCATCATTAACAGGGTATGAGATTGGTTAGTCCAAATAAATAGTATGTGAAAGAGATAGTTGGGGCACCTTGTTGTTCAAGGGGGAAAGGCATATATTATTAAAGAACTATCACCAAGCTTTAATAGTAACATATCTGTGAGTTAAAACATTTAACACATCATCTACAAATCTTGCTATTTTTCATTACCTAGGTATCAGTAACAATCTTTTCCAAATATTTACATATTTTATCATTATTTTCCTATTATTTGGTAATTGTCTTGAACATTTTCAAGAAACATAATTAGAATTTTAAAAGATATGCTGAACTTCTAAATTTAAAATAAACAGAAATGTAATTATTGATTAATTCTAAGTCCAATTATATTTTTCTTTTTAGTTATTTATGATTCCATCTGATATACATAGGAGAGAAAGTGATAGAAGAATTCTGATGGCAACTGTATGATAGAAGCTATATAAAGTCAAGTGTCCATTTTCTTTCAACTATATTTGAGCATACCCAGGTAAGAATAAATGATTGTTTATACATTTTCCATTATTTCCAAAAAGGACTTGAAATTATAAAAATGCTATTATTATGTGCTGAATGTTTAAAAATATAGTCTTACATTGCAAAAAATAGTAAAATGCATAAAAATAAAATAAAATTAAAAGCACTGATGAGCCTTTTTTCTGAAAATAACCTCTGTCATCATTTTGTTCTATATAATTTTATTTTTGTTTTGTTGGATTTTTCTTTTAAGCAAAATTACAATGATAGTATTATATTTAGTTCATTTTCATGTGGCTGATAAAGACATACTCATGACTGGGAGATTTACAAGAGAAAGATGTTTAATGGACTTACAGTTCTATGTGACTGGGGAGGTCTCATAATCATGGAGGAAGATGAAAGGCACGTCTCACACAGCAGCAGACAAGAGAAGAGAGCTTGTGCAGGCAAACGCCCATTTTTAAAACCATCAGATTTTGTGAGACCCACTCACTATCATGAGAACAGCACAGGAAAGACTCGCCCCCATGATTCAATCACTACCCACCAGGTTCCTGCCACAACATGTGGGAATTGTGGGAGGTACAAATCAAGATAAGATTTGGGTGGGGACACAGCCAAACCCTTATCATTCCATCCCTGGCCCCCTCAAATCTCATGTCCTCACAGTTCAAAACCAAACATGCCTTCCCAACAATCCCCCGAAGTCTTAACTCATTTCAGCATCAGGTCTAAAGTCCACAATCCAAAGTCTCATTAGAGACAAGGCAAGTCCCTTCTGCCTATGAGCCTGTAAAATCAAAAGCAAGTTAGTTACTTCCTAGATAAAATAGGGTACAGGCATTGGGTAAATATAGCCATTCCAAATGGGAGAAATTGGTCAATGCAAAGGGGCTACAGGTCCCATGCTGGTCCAAAATCCAGTGGGGCAGTCAAATCTTAAAGCTCCAAAATGATCTCCTTCGATGCCATGTCTCACATCCAGATCATGCTGATGTAAGAGGTGAGTTCCCATGGTCTTGGGCAGCTCTGCCCCTGTGGCTTTGCAGGGTATAGCATCCCTTCTGACTGCTTTCATGGGCTGGCATTGAGTGTCTGAGTCTTTTCCAGGTGCAGGGTGCAAGTCGTTGGTGGATCTACCATTCTCGGGTCTGGAGGATGGTGGCCCTCTTCTCACAACTCCACTAGGTGGTGCCCCAGTAGGGACTCTGTGTGGGGGCTCTGACCCCACATTTCCCTTCCACACTGCCCTAGGAGAGATTCTCTATGAGGACCCTACCCCTGCAGCAAACTTCTGCCTGGACATCCAGGCATTTCCATACATCTTCTGAAATCTAGGCGGAGGTTCCCAAACTTCAGTTCTTGACTTCTGGGCATCCGCAGGCTCAATACCATGTGGAAGCTGCCAAGACTTGGGGCTTGCACCCTCTGAAGCAACAGCCAAGCCATACTTTGGCCACTTTTAGTCGTGGCTGGAGCACCTGGGATGCAGGCCATCAAGTCCCTAGACTTCATAAAGCAGAGAGACCCTGGCCTAGCCCAGGAAATCATGTTATCCTCTTAAACCTCTGGGGTTGCCATGAAGCCCTCTGACATGCCCTGGAGACATTTTCCGCATTGTCTTGATGATTAACATTTGGCTCCTTGTTACTTATGCAAATTTCTGCAACTAGCTTGAATTTCTCCTCAGAAAATGGGATTTTCTTTTCTATTGCATTGGCAGGCTGCAAATTTTCTGAACTTTTATGCTCTGCTTCCCTTATAAAACTGAATATCTTTAATAGCACCCAAGTCACCTCTTGAATGCTTTGCTGCTTAGACATTTCTTCCTCCAGATACTCGAAATCATCTCTCTCAAGTTCAAAGTTCCACAAATCTCTAGGGCAGGAGCAAAATGCCGCCAGTCTCTTTTCTAAAACATAACAAGAGTCACCTTGGCTCCAGTTCCCAACAAGTTCCTCATCTCCATCTGAGACAACCTCAGCCTGGATGTCATTGTCCATATCATTATCAGCATTTTTGTCAAAAGCACTCAACAAGTCTTTAGGGAGTTCCAAACTTTTCCACCTTCTCCAGTGTTCTTCTGAGCCTTCCAAACTATTCCAGCCTCTGCCTGTTACCCAGTTCCAAAGTTGCTTCTACATCTTTAGGTATCTTTTCAGCAGCATCCAACTCCTGATACCAATTTACTGTATTAGTCTGTTTTCACACTGCTGATGGCAACATACCCAAGACTGGGCAATTTACAAAAGAAAGCAGTTAAAGGGACTTACAGTTCCATGTGACTGGGGAGACCTCACAACCATGGAGGAAGGTGAAAAGCACATCTCACACAGCAACAGACAAGAAAAGAGGGCTTGTGTAGGAAAACTCCCATTTTAAAAATCATCAGATCTCGTGAGTCCCACTCACTATCACGAGAACAGCATAGGAAATACCCACCTCCATGATTCAATCACCTTCCACAAGGTTTCTCCCATGACTTGTGGGAATTGTGGGAATTACAATTCAAGGTGAGATTTGGGTGGGGACACAGCCAAACCATACCAATTGTATATATACTTTGTTGATTTTCTTTATTATTTTGTAACAAATTTGTTTTCTTCTATCCTTTGAGAATATGAATTAGTGTTTTGTATTTTCTGTTATATCTGTAAATATATACTATGTCTTAAAATATTTTTATTTTGTATTATTCAGTCAATATTCTTATAGATAAATTGATATGTACATCATTTGTTGCATTAGTAGCATTACTAAAATTGGTATCACTGGCTCAATGACTGTGATCTTTTAAAGGCTTTTTATTGATATTGCTGAGTTTACCTGTAGAAGGTGGTAACAAGTTAAAGTTTTCATTAGGCAGTTTAAGTTGGAAAAAAAAGAAAATTAAGTTAAAAGTTTTAATTTTGGTTGCAAACAGTAGCAATTTCTTACTCACATCTATTCAGCAAATATATTCCCTTACATAACTAAGTCTAGAGGAAAAGTGAATGTTATAAGGCTGGGTGCGGTGGCTTATGCCTGTAATCCTGCACTTTGGGAAGCCAAGTCAGTGGATTACCTGAGGTCAGGAGTTCAAGACCAGCCTGGCCAACATGGTGAAACCCGCCTCTACTAAAAATACAAAAATTATCTGGGTGTCGTGGCAAGTGCCTGTAATCCCAGCTACTTGAGAGGCTGAGGAGGAGATTCCCTTGAACCCGGGAAGCAGAGGTTGCAGTGAGCTGAAGTTGCAGTGAGCCGAGGTTGCACCACTGCACTCCAGCCTGGGCACCAAGAGTGAGACTCCATCTCAAAAAAAAAAATAAAGAAAAAGTGAATATTATATATGTATAACCTTCCACGTTGTTTAAAAATGCACCATTTAGAAATAATACCAAGTATACATTTATCTAATTAATATTTATTGAAAACTTATTATATTTATCAAGCACTGTGATTAGCAATGGCAGTGAAGATGGTAAACATTAGAAAAGGGAAGGCACATAAATAGTTCCTGTCACCTCTAACTTTCAATAAAATATGGCCAGATGAGAAATACATTTTGGTTTCTTATGTTTAAGTAGGCCATATTAAGTGCCCAGAAAGAAGTAAAATAATAGGGCAGTTTGTAATGATAACACTTCCAGCTTGGGAATTGAGGAATACTTTCACAAACAAAAGACCACTTGAGTTGTGCTTTTTAAGGTGGAGAGGAACACGGCAGGCAAACATTTAAATAGAGAGTCAACTTGGAGCAAAGGTACTGGGCTGGCAAACCATAGGGATGGGATATTCAGGAAACTGGAAAGAGAGATTAGATATAGCAGAGTAGGTGGAAATGTGTTCTGTGATTTGGATTCTTATAATTAGGCATTTTTGTCTCATCATTATATGGAGAGGAACAATTGCAGGGGAATCAGATGAACCATGCTATCCTTTAAGAAGTTTAACTAGACCAACCACATTGGTTCATGCCTCAAATTCCAGCACTTTGGGAGACTGAGGCAGGTGGATCTCTTAAGGCCAGGAGTTCAAGACCATCCTGGAAAACATAGTGAGACCCCATCTCTACAAAAAAAATAATAAAAAAGTAGAAAAACTTAGCCAGACATGATGGTGCACACTTGTAGTTACAGCTCCTTGAGAGACTGACGTGGGAGGATCACTTGAGCCCAGGAGGTAAAGGTTGCAGTGAGACATGATCACACCACTGCCCTCCAGCCTGGGTGACAGAGCAAAACTCTGTCTCAAAAAATCTAAAAAACAAAAAAGTTTAATTTAAAAGTGATATGTGTGTTAGACGAATGAAGAGAGAGCAGCTTAAAGGAAGGCAGATTAGTTTGCAGGCTTTTCCTTACATTTTGATCACCATTTGCTGAACCCTTGCTACTTGCCAGGCACTAAGCTAGGAACTGTAGGAAAATAAAACAATGAAGACATAATCTTTACCCATGAGTTTATAATGTAGCGGATGTACCTGCATGACAAGCAAATGAATAGAATACCCCATGAAAGCACAAGAGAATCATGTTTAACTAAAGACTAGTGAGTAATAATTATGTTGGCATGCAGATATTGAGTTACCAGTAGACTAGGTTTCCCCCAAAACGTTAAGTCTGATCAAGATTACCCAGGAAGCAGTGTTTCTAAATTTTTAAATAATTCGAGAAGAAGCAATAGAAGCTTTGTCTAGGGTGAAAAAAATGTAAATAAAAAACAAGGTGTGGTTAGATGAGACTTGGTAGTGGTAGAAGCAGTTAAGCGGGGGTTAAAGAAACAGCCTTTTTGCTTAGACAAGAGGGGCATGTTGATGACAGGCACAGAAATGGGGAAAACAGAGTAAAAGTGGGTTTTGTTATTGTTGGTAAAATTTGTTTGGCTTTGAACACTGAAGAATTTTCTCTCCTGCTTCACTTTCCTGTGTTCAAACCTTTGCTAGAGCACTCATAACATTTTAAAATTTCATTGCAATTCCTTATTGAGAATTGAGGAATATTATTGAGGATTAGTTAAGGATTCATTTAT